AGCTGATTCATTTAATTCTCAAGGACCATGCTATGATTATCAATTATATTTTAAAAAAAGACCATTGGATGCAGATTCAAATTTTTATTTACAAACAGATCCAAAATGTAAGTTAATTATAATTATTTTATAACAATTTTATAAATTTTACAAACTTATAATTTATTAGGAAAAGAAACTGGAAACTGGTATTGTACATAATCAACATATTGGCAAGAATTCACTATCTAAATTTATGAAGCGATGAAAACTCAGTAGTTTACGAAATTTTTAAAAATAATCATCTTGAAATTTAATGATCAGTTTGAAAATTAAAAAGAAAAAGAGTATTTTTTTTAAAAGGATTTTCTTATTCAAAATTTCTGATCAATAATTTCTTGTGATAATCAATTGTACCCGACCTGAGTCCAATTCCTAACCAATTCTTACGTTCAGGGATGCTAATGGTCACGATCATGAACTGCATTTTGTATAATATCGGTAGTCAAAGACTTCTGACCTATCGGTTGATTAAATTGTCAGTGACATATCGATAAATCATGTTAAATATTTTTTGGACTTAAACATATGACATTGATTAGATCTTTCATTTAATATTGCTAGATATTTTTTAAGACTTAAAATGAGAATGTGATAAAAATAATAAAACATTTAATAAAATATAGCTTTATAATTTTCATTTTACTTTAAGAATAAATTATTCTTAAAGAAAACAATAACATTCAAATCATCTATGTATTGCAAGTTGAAAGTATATAAACCAAAAAAAAAACACACATACTTAATTGTTACATACATATGCTTTCCTAAAACCAAATATTAAACACAATTATATATAAATTAGTCAATGTGCATATATATACATGCACTTAAAATCTGAAATTAAGTAAAACAGAAATAAAAATACTTAAGATTATACTCGCTGTTACAGCATACCTTTATGTTATGTTAAATTAGATTTAAACAATGTACCAAAAAATAATCCAAAAAAATAACAACGAAAAAAGTACGCCGCTGAATGCGAAACAAAAAAAAAAAATTAAAAAAAAAATAATGACGAATAACCTAAAGGAGCGTAAGATTTTGTAATTGCTGCACCCAAAGTGACCAAACTGAAACTAAAATATAAACCCCAAGAACTTATGAGAAAAATAAATAACGGAAACTCGCTCCGATCCGAAGAAGAAAGAAAGCGGCGCAAGATTTTTGGAAAATCGTTCAATTGCTGCGGGCCAAAGCGCCTGATCGAAGCCTTTTTCATTTCTAATAAAGAAGTAATAAGAAAAAAAAAGGAATAATCAATTTTTATCTTTTTGAAACCAAAATTTATGTTAGGAGAACGTTTCGGAACTTTATTATATTTGATGAAGCGTAAGTCCTTTGTAGATCCGAATTCAGTTAAATACATTGGCGAGTTCGTCATATGGAAAAAATGGAATTTCTTACTCATTTTCCTGTTACCTGACTTCTTGCTTGCATTTACATTCATATGACAAGCGGAATTTCTTTATTATTATCATTGGTAAAATCAAAAGTTTTGCATGTTCATATTGTGCTGAAACTTCCTTATCTTTCACATAATAATGTCTTGCAGAACCTTGATGCTGTGATCGACCTTTACTCTAGAAATTCAATTATTTGTTAAGTAGACGGGAAGAGATGCTGAACTTCTTCAGATGTGGTATGATAAGGTTATTATTTACATAGAAGAATACTTGGAAAATACGTATAAATATTTTGGTGCAAAACAGTAACTTTAATCAGGCTTCATATTATTAGTCCGGAGCGAAGCAAAGGACTTTATAATACTAGCCATATGTCACACAAGGTGTCCCGTTGTCAGCCCGCTCAATAATTGAGTCGATGATGTTTGCAATTGCACAAAAGTCTAGATAAAGCAAATACCAATGTGAATTTTTTTAATTAAGATACTTCCGGACTTAACAACGGTCACCGTTCCTTAGTCTGCACTTAACAAAGAAACATAAGCATGCCATCAACACAGCATCATTCCAGAATGTGTCATCCTTGTTCTTAAAGAACATTCAATCAACCTATTGCTTTGTATCTTACCATGCCTATGGTATCAAAATAATTTTTAAAAAAGAATAACCTTGGTGAATGTAATCGTCGAATAATATTTCCGACTCAATGACACTACGCCACTTGACAATCAATTTGATGCAGTTTTTATTACAGCAGTCTGGGAGAGATTTACCGTTTCATGGATCATTCTCATAATGATGTCGTTGTCACGATTTCAATTCTATCAAGAGTACTTTTCTATAGTACTGCACCTATGCCATTTAACAAGATATCAAACTTATTTTCTCTTTATAGATGATGTGCGCAAATTAGGTACTTTAAGTCTCAAATTGGAAGTGATTTTTCCTAGAAAAAACCAGATTGATTCCAAATAGATATATGTAGAGACCCACCTGCGATTCAACTAATGAAGAGGAAAATTTTATGGAGTACGAATAAGATATGGACCAAGATATGGATCGAGAAATTGATTACGATTTGAACATGCTAATACTGCAAAGGATTATCAGGTTCCAAAGTCCTTGAACACGCAAAGAATCTTGAGCAAACCAAAAGTTCTGCAGACATATTTATGTTTCAATAGAACTTCGAACAGAAATTTTTATTGATGATGATGGAACAAGTTTTTGGATCATTCATGAAGGAGGTTCGTATAATACAGTTATAAAATTTATAATAAAATCCATTCTAATTAATGAAGGAATTTCTATACTAGAGAAAAGTTGCGAAAATCAAAAAGTTCATATGTACTAGCAAATGTAAATAAAATTTTTTTATTTTTTTATTATCAATTCGATTATTACACATACACGTTACCATTACGTTTTAAAAAATAATATTCTATGGTTAAATAATATTTTATTATTAAAATCTTAATGTCTGAATCACTAATTATGATAATAAATGTCTTTAAATTATTGTAAATAATTTTCCTTTTTATTTATTCATTATGAAAGATTTATCACTCGCTTCACTAATGTCAGTGAAATAATGGTCAATTGGTCAATTAAACTAATGAATGAACTTTACCCAAATCTTGAGTTTTTCTAATCTATCTAACTTACGAAGCTCTTCTTGCTACATCTAAAAAAAAAGATGGCTGAGCTAGACAACAATAATAGATTTAAACATCATAAAGTCCTTTATCTTTTTCTTATTCTATTAATCTCTGAACATGTGCCTCACTATCATTCAGCATTTCGGCCATATGCTGCAATTTCAATAAATTATCCATTTCTTTGTCTTCTTCAGATACATTGGAAGTACGTTCTTCCTATATCCGTTAAAGATCGGAAAATGTATCTTAAAAAAAAAAATCCTTTTTAGTTTAACATTAATTACTTTAATTACCACTAGTACGACTTTGTTACTGAAGAAGGAGATGATGAACGGCTATTATCATTTCTAATAGCATTCCTTACAACGACTGATGCTGACGGTATTTTATTAGCATGCTGTTTTCGAAGTTCATCAATATGTTCATTACGCCGTGGTAATTTTGACCTTAGCTGTGATAATTCCTCACCAAGTTGCTACAGTATTAAACAAATCTAAAGATCTTAATAAATATTTAAATTAAAAAAATAATTCAACTTATTTAATATATCACCTCTAAATTTTTGTGAGGCTTCATTTTCCTCTTGCTTTTGTATTAGACTTTTTTCTTTGCATCAATTGCCTTTGTAAGTCTATGATCGAAATCTTTAAAATTAGCTAAACATCGAGCTTCAGCGCTAAATTTAATTAATTTAAATAACATATTTCATATGATAACAATGCCTAGTTTATAAAGGATTTAAAAACCTGCTTTTAAATGTTCATTTTTCATTTGAAAACTATCCAATTGTTTTTGAATAGATTTTATGGCCTCTGAATTTTCTGTTAAATTCACAAGCGCGTTTTCAATCTCTTTCAGTTCTAAGTTTGTCCTGAACATGCTTCAATTCAGATGTCTTAAAACTAATAAAATGTATTGTTCTTAAATAACTATGGTTGCGGGGCAAAACCCTAAACCCATTTTGGCAAAAGTCGAACTCGCCTCTAAAATACAAAATTCCAAAATTGAAAAGCCACGTTGAATTTATAGAAAATTTTTGTTGTAAAAAAAAGGGTGGAACTTTTAAGAAATTGTCTGATCATCTGGGATGAATGAATAATAAAAAAAAAAAAAAAAAAATTTGATATTTGGTAGAAAAGTACTCGAACACCAGGCATGCATGACAAGCGTTGTTACCACTACACCAAATCATCTTCGTTGTTAAATTACATAAAAAATTAAATAATTTAAACTAGATTGCATGAAACATGAGATTAATTGCCGGATTGACTACTGGGTTATACATGATTTCGGATATTTTTTGGTTATTTCGTTGATAGTTTATACGTCACACTAAAACACTATTTGATTATCGATGATTATTTTTACTTTTCTTACAAATATTTTAAATATAATTTTCTCATTTTACAAAGTTACTATTAATATAAAATACGTTAATATTATTTTTTATATATATAAAGTTTTAGTTTATTTGAAATGACTGCTGCGTTATTATGTCTAATCAACAATGTAAAGGATGTCATGTCTTTTTATTAAAAAAAAAAAACTTACATTCTATAATTTTTGTTTTCAGAATTGCTCTAAAAAAAATTATTTCCAAATAAATTGAAGTAATATTTGCATTGAAATATTTTTTATTAGTTATCTTTATAATCTAAATTTCATGAAGCTTGCTAAGGTTATTATCTTTAATGTAAGAATGTTAAACAATCTTTAACTGTGTTAGCAGACATTAGGCCAAGTAATATTTTGTGAATTTTTTGCTTATAATTATTAGAAATTGTTTGACAGCTTAAAAATTCAGGAAGATCATATTTATTTGGAATTAGATACTTTTTAGATACATGAGAAAATAAAAAAAAAAAATGGTTTATTAATTTTATTGTGTAACGATATAATATAAGATATTGATATCTGGATTATCATATGATATATTCAAAAATCGATTGAGAATATGTCAGTATAGCGGTACGGTATGAAGCACTTGACAATTCTAATCTCGAATTATAGTTTCGAGTAAAACTAATACCAAAAAAATAAAATAATAAAAATTTTTTTTTAAAAATATATTTTAAAGTATAACATAAAAATATGATATTGCTCATTATATTACGCGTTCCAAAAAAATTTCAAATTTCCTTTTTTTCCATGACAAACGACAACTCATATTAGTAGGATAAAAAAAAGATATTTTAGTGACGAAAAGATTCTCTTATGAAATAATTTTTTTTAAGTTAAAAAAATAGAATTCAGTAAAACTCTTTTGGAATCTACAAGAAACTATTATGTAATCTGAGATAATTGAAGAAAAAAATCCAATTGCAGTGAGTAGATTATCTTAAATAGAAATATTTTTAGTGCTAATATTTTTCTAACTTTATTTTTGATTTTTAGAAAGAAGGAATGAAGGAATATGCCTCGTCATCTTAAATCTCGTCCGCAATGCAAGAGAACAAATCATAAATTACACATCTTACAAGTCACTAATAACAAACAGGAAGAGATCTCTAAGCTAGTGTTTCAATCTGTATTTGAGTCAACTGGCGATGACGTACCTACTAACAAAGGGAAGCGTGGAGATTATGAAGATTTAATTCAAGATTGTTGAATGATGTCACATCCGAAGATGAAAATGATAGTGAAGAGAAAGAAGAGCTAATGACGAAGAATCCGAAATTACTAACAACGAAAATTTTGACGAAGTAGTCAAACCTAATCAAGCTGAGAAATGTCCTTTCACAATCAGCATTAATGATTCTAGAAATTTTAAAAATTAAAGGCTAACCGCTTCTAAAGTGAGTGTTTAGATATACTTTTACGCGTTTTAATTATTACACATATAACGAAAAGATCTATTGAGTAGACTTGGATTGTCTTCCATTGTAGATTTGTCATCCGAATTTTAAGGTAGTAAAGTATGTACATCTGGTTCAGAGAAGAATGGTCTAGCTGAAAAAAAAGTGACAACATGCTACCAATAAAGTTCGAAGCTGTGTTCTTGAAGGCATTGGGATGATTGAGGGTGTAAGTAGAACAAACGGTTGATTGATATGTTTAGATTATCGATATTGGGATACACGAGAGCATTTGATAGAATGAGAACAATATTTAAATTAACAATTTTTTATCAATAATTCCATCAACGTTACGTCTTTAAAATAAAATATAATCGCTCGTTTCACTATCAGAACCCAAATAAGTAATTATTACATTCTCAGAAGATTTAAAAATACGGATGAACGTTTTTACCAAACTAGTCAGAAAATCAACTATAAAATCTGATTAACGGTAAATTATCATCTGACCAATTTATGCCTTTTTGGCCTCCATTTTAATACATGCTTCCAAAGCTTCAACTTTTTCATCTGCAAGTCATCTCTCTTAACAAGGATTTTTCAGGAAGTCAAGCGATTTAAAATATTTTTCAAGATTTTAGTAGAATTTCTATTTTTCGCTAAAAGAGAATGTATTTTTATATAGACCGTCAGAGTGCGGTTATATGCAAGATTTGAATATGAAATTAATTCGAATCAACCGGGTCAGATCGAATTTTGGGTTATGACCCTTTTAAACAATTTATAGTGTTTGAATCCTTTTGTTACAAATATTCCGTACCATGGATATAACAAATTGGTGAGAGGTTATCAATAGCATGTTTTCATTTAAGTTAGTAAAGATAATGCAATTGGAGTTTCTGGTGATTGTTTCATGATGATACTTCTTTTTACTGGGTGTATTTTTAATGACCATAGCTTTATCCACACTATATCTAGATTCACATGTGACTGAAGGAAGAAGATCCCAAAATTTTCTATAGTATATTACGAAGAATTTTATATTTACACGCCCGGACAAAAGTATATTCAGAAAATTTCTTGCCGAAGAATAGGGCTGGAGAATTTTCGTGATATGATAACATTTGTCAATTCGGATATCGCGCAGTGTAGATGCTATAAAATAAAAAGGATGTGGTACCAAATTTATACTTGGTTTGTTTTTTGAAATACGCCGGTCATCACGAGGTTTGTGACAAAACGTAATATGAAGCGGAAAAAATATCTCCACGAGTTGATCCATCTGCGTGAGAAAAAAGATCTTCAAGGTGCGATTTACTTGTCGATTCCGAGTTCTTTCTTTCTTTGCCATAAAATATAAAAAGGGAGGTATGTCACCTGTTAATCATTTTATTCGCTTCGTGCAAATATAAGCAAAAAAAAATAATGAAATCTTACCTCGCAACCAATGGCCCCGATCAAAGCAGATAAATTTTCGATCGTTGCTGACCAGATTCCACTACAAAATACTTATATGATGATTTTGTCATCAATTATAAATAGCGTTCTAAAGCGTTTTCGACTATAAATATTATCATGGATGGAATAAATCGGAAAGGTAGAAAATTCGGCATTGATCCGGACCGGATGATTTTCGTGATGCGATTCCAAGATCATGAGGTGCTTTCTCTGGTGAATCGGACGATAATACTGATTTTAGAGATAAGTTAGATATTATTCGTTATATGCTTAATCTCATATAATTGCTAATCAAAACCTACCTTTTTGAGAATGACCGGTTAGGAATGCAACTGTCATATCTTACAAAATAATAATAAGGTATGTGGATTAATGCTTGGATAAATTCTAAAAGGATGACATAACAATACAATCCGTTTCTCGGCTTTATAAACGTACAAAATCAAAAAGGGCATATTACTTTATTGATCCTTTTCATCAAGAAAATCGTAAATTATCGTTAGCTCAGCATTCGTTGTCTTAGGATAATCGTGTATCACCTGATTTTCGGAATCAAAATCCTTGTTTCTGATAAAACTTTCGAACTCACTTATGTCGAATCTTCACGGATTATTTTGCTCTATATCAGTGCCTTATGCTAGGCTAGTTTCCGCTCGAAAGTTCTAGCATCGAAAGTTCTGGCAATATTTTATTAAAACACTTATCTACTAATTCATTTCATGAATTCTTTATCCCATTTTTTGGGTGAGTGGTAAGAGATTCCCCTGAGAATCAGATCCGATGTTAATTTGGAAGTTCAATGAAATGAATAAGTTAATACCGCCCTCTCATTAAAAGATTTCAAGGTGACTAATCAAACCTAATTTTATATATATATTGTTAAAATTTCCATAACTGATCACTGTTAACTTTTTTGAATAAAATAAGAAAATGGGGGGTTAAAGCTTTCGCAGTAAAAAAGTATAAAATAACCTTGTTTTCTGATATTTTTACACAAACAACTCAAATAACTGCGCCCGATCGATCATTTTCGCATAATAATCTGCTTCAAATCAAAATTAACACTGGTTTCGCAACAGAGGCTAATAAAATTTTATCAATGGTTAATAATGCGACCACAAGGCTTAATGCTTTTGAAGAAGCCTGCCTAATGTGTTTGGCTCAGTTAATGCTCTCCAAATGGATTAATTCAATACTACGCAATTGGCCGAAGGATACAATCTGACGAATTTAATCAACAATATAGATAACCACTCAGCTCCTAAAATCCATGTATAAGGTGTGTGATTATTTCAGTTGATATGATTATTGACTATTGATACTTTTTAGGATGTAAATCATTAAATTGATCTGTTACGGAAACTGCAAGACCAACAGGAATTTCTCAAGAAACCGAGAATTCTCGATCGGTATTAAAAATGATCATGGAAAGAGACGCTTATTGTATCATGGTCGTCAGAACGAGATTAAAAATAGAAA